GAACTGTGAAACACTGTGCTCTCATCATTCTGTAAGTGTTCAAGCAGAGACCAGAGGAATTGGTGTCAGAGATGCTGCAGAGAGATCCCTACATGAGGTGGGAGGTAAGACAAGATGGTCTCACTAGGGTTCCTTCCAGCTCTGAGGTTCTAAGGCTAGCAAAGGAAAACCAAATGCCACGAAAAAAAAGATTCTCCAGTTTCAAGACCTGAATTACAGCAAAAGAGAAAAATATCCTGCTAAACAATTTACCCAATGGCTGTTTGGTAACATCTTACATTTAGTCCCTGGCATTGCAACTACCAGGGATCGTTTTTTTTCCTAGTTGACCTGCAATTAGTTCCCGGATAATGTATATCACTACCTTTAAACCACATCTTTTACTCTACTAATTATCACCCCTAGTACAATTTGTACAATGCTTTACAGTTTTCGAAGCATTGTAATATGTGTTACCTTCCGCACATTAGCTAAATATGAGACGAAAACTTCTTTTAGATAACCTGCTCTCATTTACTGCCTCCTGCTCGAGCTTCTTACAAAAGAAAGCTAGCCTTGGGCTTCCCTGGTGGCGCAGTGGTTAAGAATCCGCCTGCCAATGCAGGGGACACGTTCGAGCCCTGGTCCGGGAAGATCCCACATGCCACGGAGCAACTAAGCCCGTGAGCCACAACTACTGAGCCTGCGCTCTAGAGCCCGCAAACCACAACTACTGAGCCCGCGTGCCACAACTACTGAAGTCCGTGTGCCTAGAGCCCGTGCTCCACAACAAGAGAAGCCACCGCAATGAGAAGCCCGTGCACCGCAACGAAGAGTAGCCCCCGCTCGCCACAACTAGAGAAAGTAGGCGCGCAGCCCACACGCACCAACAAAGGCCCAACTCAGCCAAAATTAAAATAAATTAATCAATTAAAAAAAAAAGAAAGCTAGCCTTTATTATCCATTAAACTTTCACTAATAAAGTATAGTCCAGCAAATATTTATCTCTCCAAAACAAGTCATTTTTACACAACTCAGAGATAAGCCAAATCCAGTTATTTCCACATCAGAGACACGGATTTACCTCAGTGAAATGTCTATTTTATTTATGATCTGGGGAAGATATTTGCAATTTAGTTTTCCCAGATTTCAATGCAGCCATACACACCAAAAGTTCCAGAAAGCAGCCACAACAAAAAACATGAAGCATATACAGCAAGGAAAGCCATTGTAGGTCCTAATTCCAGGGGCTCCTATACTCCCTGGCTGAAACTGCTGATAAGAGTTGTGTAAGGACTTCCCCAAAGCCAAACTGGGCCCTCACCCACTGCTTTACTTACTTCTTTACGTTTCGTTTCTGGACATTCCGACTGCAGTGTGAGGGTTGCACCTTCGATATTTCTTGGCATGGGCGTGGAACCAGGGTTTATTGTTAAATGAATCTGATCTGGTGAGATAATGTGTTGCACATAACCCTGGGACATTGCTTCATGATCTATTAGATGAAAACCCTCTTCACCCCCTACTAGAAAAGGCAAGTGTTCTCCACACTGTCCATCGTCATCGTCATCTTCCAAAGTGCCAGGATCCTGCTCGATAAGAACAGTTGTCCTATCATAAACAGTTCCAGATGAGGAAGGCACCAGTCCATTCTTATCCACAAACCTGAGCATCTTGTCATCGGGGGTCAGCTCATCTTCCTCTACCTCAAAGTAGCTGATGCTGTCGTCTGGACTGTGTTCCCCCATGGTTCAGTTGTGCTCAGCCCAATTGTGAGAAATGGAAAGGTAGTGACCTGTCTGCAACAGAACAAAGCCAGAGTCAGAGCCATACCATAGGACCCAGGGACCTCTTCAGCAATCACAGGGCTCTTTTATCCTCTTCTTTCAAGAGCAGGACAAAGTAAATGAAAAACATCTTCCTTGGGACTTTTTTTTTTTAAGTTTAAAACCATCAAGTCATTTTGAAGGAAAAACAATATCTTTTTAAATAAATTGAAGTAATGGGAATTCCCTGGCGGTCCAGTGGTTAGGACTCCACGCTTTCACTGTTGAGGGCTCAGGTTCAATCCCTGGTCAGGGAACTAAGATGCCGAAAGCCGCTTAGTGCAGCCAAAAAGATTTTTAATAAAAATGAAAATAAAAAATGGAAGTAATAAGCAGCAGCTTATAAGACCTTCCAAATGTGCCTTACTGCCAAACACTGTGAAGGCTGGTCAAAACACTTAAGGGGAAATAGGGGCAAACTGTTTCAAAGCTGAGTTGCTATAAATCTTAAAACAAGGGAACTCCACCTAAATATCCCCCAAATCAGACCGTGAGGCAGTAAGTCTATGCTGGAAGGAGAGTAGGGCTTTGGAGGCAGGGTCACCTACCCACAAATCCCGGCTTTACTACATACTACTTGGGTAGCTTTCTGTGCCTCACTTTTCTCATACGTAAGGTGGAACTGGTAATTCCTGTTCTCAGGAAATTGTTATGCAGAGTAAAAGACATAATGTGTGTTAAAGCACAATGTCTGACAACAGTAGAGAAATCAAGTGTGAATCTGTTCCCTCCTTCCGAGAACAGATGTTTCAGCTTCTGGGTAGTGGGGCTAATCTCTTATCAGGTATATGTAATGAAGATCACTTTATCTATTTATCTCCTAAAACAATCTGGTGTCCACTAGAAGCTATGCTTTATAGTGTGCTCTCTGCAATGAGGAAATGATGAGTCTTATTTTTGTTTCTACTGCCTCTAGCACAGTACACTGACACGAGGAGTTCAGGATATGTCAGTTAAATGAATGAAAGGCCTGCGGATATACTCTCTTGGAAAGATAAACTCTCTTGGGAAAAATACCAAATTTGAAGTTTTCCTGTTCTGGAATAGTGATTCTTCTTCTACCTGTAAACACACAGGTTCTACAAACGCGGGTTTGGCACACATAACAGAGAATTTAAAAATAATCACTTTTCGTTTTCAGTCTGGCTTTGCACTTTATCTTTCTCTTCTGCTCCGGATTAGAAAGTGAACCCTTACTCGGTAGGGCGGTTAGACAGAGTGGTAGTTACCAGAGACAGGCCAAGGGATCTGAGCCGGGAGGAACCGGCCCGACCCCTTGCTCTGGCTTACGCAACCCGGTAGATGCACATTTCGCTGCATCTGAGAGGAGAGATAAGAGCACCGGGGGCCCCATTGGGCTGCCCCAGCACCACAGGCGGCAACGCGGAGACCAACTGTCCGGAACAAACAAGACCAGGAGGTTTGAGGGTGGCAAACGAGAAATACAAACAGAGCACCCTTGAGAGGAGGCTGGGAAAAGGAACCTGTCTGGGACAGTCCCCAGTCCAGGGCTACACGGAAAAACCCGAAGTCAGGCTGGGGGGCTCCAAGCCGGGCGAAGAGGGGCAGGGTCCGGATCTCCATGGAAACAGGGGAGGGGGGCTGGATACCCATCCCCATGGAAACGGAGGAGGGGTGGGGTCCCTATGGTGACCGGTCTAGGGTCCCTACTGGAAAATGCTTCAGGAGGGAGCCTAAGTCCCGCGCCCCCCGGGAAGTCCCCAGCCCAGGCCGCGTCTGGTATCGCCTTTTACCTCCGCGGCTCCCGGCAACGGCGGCGGCGGCAGCAGCTTCTCCCCTCCCCAGCGGCACCATGATTGCCCCCACCTTCCCCGAACGTCACTTCCGCTTCCGCTTTCCGGAGGAAGGAGGAGATAGTGGCTCCGCCTCTCCTTGACGCTTCTGGTTGGTTTAGTCGGTGTGGGGGCTGAGCTCGAGCCTCCAATTGGCGAGCGGAAGGGGGGGCGGGGTGGGGACCACGGAGACCTCGCGGGGCCACGAGTTCGTCCCGCGCTGGGCAGCGCCCGCCTCGTCCTCCACCTGGGGGGGGGGGGGGGGGGGGGTTGCCTACAGGGAGTCGGGGCTCGGCTCAAGAGGCACCAGACGCAAGGAAGAGTGATCAGACCCCCGGCCACTAATCCAAAGTAGCCCCAGCCCGGCTTGCGCTCCCCTCACCTTAGCAGCCACAACCGCAGCGGGAAGGACCCCAGTTAGCCGCCGAATTCGTACCCGGACCGCAAGGGGGAAGCCTGGAAGGCTGTGACATTCCGGGTTTCTCCTTGTGGCCCCAGCTTCCCCTTCTCACCTAACAAAGTTACTATGGGCAGGAGGGTCCCAGAAAGGAAAACTGGACACAAATGGCAGAAATGGGGAGTATTCCAAGCCTGGCCAGAGGACGCCACCACCTCTTCCCCCCTTCACAGCCTCGCTTAAAACGCCCAACTCCCTTCCTCCTCACACCCCTGCCCAGGCCGTCTCTCCCGGCTTTTTCCCCTGCACAGGACTGTCGGCTTCCATGGAACTCGTTCCCGGGCCAGGCAACGCCACCTACTGGCCATTCTTTCTTTAACCGTTCACATTGTCAGCGTACCGGCCGGTATCTAAATCACTTACACTGCCAAGGAGTAGTGGTGATCCAAGAAGCGATTTTGCATGTGCCTTTACTCTGCTCCTGACCTGTAAATATCTAGCTGTCAGAACCTCTTAGCAGCCGCTGCCATTTTCCCCATAAGCTACTTCTCTAGAATATTAAAAGTGGGACAACCCTCAGAAACTAGATCAGGGGTCAAGGGGTTGGGGCCATGCCTGTACTATCTCTTGCTTGAAAAAGGTAAATAGTGGCTGTTATCACCAGACTGCCAGGCAAATATCTCTCTGGCCCCTGACCAGCTGCCCCAGTGCTTTTTTATTTTATTTTATTTTATTTTATTTATTTATTTGGCTGCGTCGGGCCTTAGTTGCGGCGCATGGGATCCTTGTTGTGACGAGCAGGCTCTTCGTTGCGGTGCGCGGGCTTCTCTCTAGTTGCGGCATGTGGGACTTTAGTTCCTCGACTAGGGATTGAACCCGCATTCCCTGCGTTGGAAGGCGGATTCTTAACCACTGGACCACCAGGGACCACCCTGCCCCAGTGCTTAACCCACAAATGTCCAGCTGCTGAGAGCTGCCATCTCTTAAAAAATAAAAGCAACCAACCACTGTTAAAAATACATTTATCATTAAAATATATTACACGTATAAGAGAGGGGATGCATTATATACAGTTTGGAGGATTTGTTGGCCCAGAAAATTCCACTTGTTTCACCAGAACACCAATTTCTTCAATATTTTCATTTTCAAGCCACTACATTGCCCTCGGAGGCTGAGTGGCCAGCTCTAGAGTTGTTGAGCCATATCTGAGTGGGAAGTGGGGTAGGGTTTGCAATATGTGTACACACATGTCCTCAGAGAACTGGAAGCATCTGGGGTGGCTGTGGGCTCTTTATCCAGCAGCTTCCATTTGCATTCTTGCCGTCCAACTCATCCATCCTTCAGGACTCCAAAGTTTGTTCAAATATCTGATCACGGGGAGCCCAGCCCAAGCTGCAGGGAAGGCACTATATGCCCTGGAGGCAGGTTGAGTGAGCACAAGAAGTACAGTCGTTTAAACATTAAAAAAAAAAAAGATCTATCTGTTAAATAACTAAATTTGAACGTTGAATGTCAGTTTTATTGTGGTGGATTTCTCCTCATGTCTTCACAACTCGCAGCAGCACCGAGTGTGACAGTCATGGTGGGGAGGGCAGTCTGGGCTCAGGAAACAGGCAGCTGCCACTCTGGCATCCCAGTGGGCTCACGTGCTCTTAGGGCAGCTTTGGAGCTGAAATAGGTGGGGCTGGTAATTGGCTGCCTCAGGCAGAATAGGAGAGGAGATGGACAGGCTCAGGGTGAGTTGCAGAGGAACTGGTGAATAAATTCTTGAGCCTTCTTCTTCTCTGCCACTTCAAGCTTTTGGTGACCAGCTGGGTTTCGAAGCAGTAAGCTACCAAATATGCTAGCTGTATGAAAAACCCAGAAAACATATGATTCAGCATAAGAAGTACTACTTATTCTTGTGTTCTTAGGAGTGGGGAGAGGTGCCCCAAAGCAGTATTTTCTGCTTTAAAATAACTATTTGAGAGTAAACTTTGCCCAGAGCTTGAGATTTTAGTTCTACTGCAGTGGACTTGGGACATTCCTCAACCACATTTCTCTTATTAATGAGTCAGTCTGCAGAGATGCTTTCCACACACACTTGGTGGCTTACCTAGAATATTACCATCCAAATGATTTTTTGCTGAATTTTTCAGCAGTTCTTGCAAAAACGCCATCAAGTAGATGAAGACATTTCTGTGGCATGCGGGAAGGGTAGCAATGACCTGAAAGAGGGAGAACTGGGATTTGTCTTTTTGTTCATTCAATCGTTTCCCAAGTGCCTGCTATACTCCAGGAACTGAGTACATGATCCGGGTACATGAGTAGTAAGACTGTACACTGAAAACCTTGATCACCTGCCACAGGTGCCAAAACAGAAGCATAGATCAAGCGTTACATGAATTTAGAGGTCAAACTTCTAACTGCACGTTCTCAAAAGACTTAAGAGAACCGAAAACATTTTAGTTGCGTCTTGAATATAAGAGAAGATTGCACTTGCAGAGGTAAGGACTAGGGCATTTAGGGCAAAAGAAAGTGTAGAAAAGGCGAGGTAAGGAAAACAGTGAGATAAGAAGAAAGAACACATCATGAGAAGTCAATTTTGGCAGGAGCACTACTGTTTGAACAGGCCCTGAGCTTGGAAGAGCTGATCAGGCTAGAATTCAATGAGTACTCTGGCTATCTGCATTTCAGAATCGGTTGGGAAGCCTGTACAAAATATATCCCAAAAGAGATTTTGAGGGACCTCCCTGGCAGTCCAGTGGTTAAGCCTCCACGCTTCCACTGCAGGGGGCACGGGTTCAATCCCTGGTCAGGGAACTAAGATCTTGCATACCAAGTGGTGCAGCCAAAAAAAAAAAAAAGAAGAGAGAGATTTTGATTTTTTGATTTAGTGGAGGTGGGGGGTAAGGCTCTGGATCGTGTATTGTTAGCATGTTTTTTAGATTATTCTTCTATGGCAGGTTACATATGTGAATGACTAGACTAGATCATAAAAAGTCCCGAACATTTGTTTAAGAAAATCCTTAATTGGCAATGGATAGCGTTTCTGACCAACAGCAACATGACAAGAGCTTTAGAACCCCAAATCTAATGGGAGTACGCAAAACAAATCAGCAGAGGGAAAGCATGAATGCAGGGTCCTGAACCAAGGAAAGTGGAACTAGTACGGAAGACAAGTGACAGAGCAAGGGGACTGAGCGTGTGGGAGGTGAGGAGAGGGGGAGTCAGAAATGACTCAGGTTTCTGGGTTGAGTCACTGGAATTAAGGTGATGCCATTAAAAGGAAAAGGGACATGAAGGGAAGAGCGGGTTTGGGACGGAAAGACTTGGAGTCGAGTTTCTAAGACACTGAGTTTGGGGGATGGTGCCCACTTTGTTCCCTCAGGCGCAATGAGACCCGGGGCTGCAACATGAACGCGCTGATGCTCCACGCTTCCCCTCACCTGTTTACTTGCTGTGAGGTTGCCAGAACACTCCAAGCAGTCGTGGTAGACGCTGTAACAGATGACGGGCTCCGGCAGGCTCTCCAGGAAAAGCAGCAGGGCTTCGGCTATGGAGTGATTGCTAGCAGCTTTGGGCCCATCGTTAAGGAATGCTGCTGCCATGGTCATGGTTAGGAAAAGCCCCAGGAGCCAGGATGTGCCAGAGTGCTGCCTGCCCAGCCAGGCTCTCTGCTTGGAGCTAGGATGCCGGGCTGACATCTTGAAGGGGCCAAGCTGCCTGTCAGCTTCGCCGGGACCTCCTGAATTCCTGCTATATATTGGTTGCTTAAAGTTGTAAAGTCTTCTCTATACAAACTTTAAGTAAGAAAAACATAACAGCTGAGGACACAATATCTGATTTTGAGCCTTAAAATATCATCCTTTCCTTTTGCTCACCTCTCTTTCTCATATTCACACACACATACACGCGTGCACGCATGAACGTCTGAAGGATACAGAGGGTATCAATCATTCCGGTATCCAAACAGTCCCTGATATGCTCAAATTCCAACCTTAGGCCTGGCTGCTGAAACAGATCTTCCTGAAAAAGGGAAGAAAGTCACAAAATAATTCTATTTTCAGAAAAGCAGCAATGATTTCCTGACCTAGAAATATAATCACCAGCAGGGTACAAAAGGGGGCAGCATGGTGAGGCCTTTGAATCACCCCACTAGACAATGTGATGTAGGCTGATGTGGCTAATTCATCTTGCAGGCCTTCCCAGCCACGCTCCCACAATAGGTCTTCAGCACAAGACATCTATTAGAAGAGAACTCCCTGGCGGTCCAGTGGTTAGGATGCCGTGTTTCCACTGCAGGGGGTGTGGGTTTGATCTCTGGTGATCCAACCGAAGGGAAAACTTTAAAGTAGCTACGTTTCCTGCAGTGTTACGGAGGTATTGACCAGAAAGAGAAAAAACTGAAGAAAATACATCATTTATAAGATGGAGAAAGTTAACATGGCACCTCAGTGCTTTGAGAAAACGAGATTATGGCAATAAAGTATTTCTATGAGTCCTAGGATCCCTTATATTTGTTTTATAAAATAACTTAATGTCCTATAACCGTGAACAATAATATTATATGTATTGCTCAAAAGTTACACCTGAAAGGAGCTCTGTAGAGAAGATAGACTAGCATAGTTCTTAAGAATGTGACTTTGGGCTTCCCCAGGTGGCACGCAGTGGTTAAGAATCCGCCTGCCAATGCAGGGGACACGGGTTAGAGCCCTGGTCCGGGAAGATCCCACATGCGGCGGAGCAACTAAGCCTGTGCGCCACAACTACTGAGCCTGCGCTCTAGAGCCCACAAGCCACAACTACTGAAGCCTGCGCACCACAACTACTGAAGCCTATGCACCTAGAGCCCATGCTTCACAACAAGAGAAGCCACCATCATGAGAAGCCCGCACACTGCAACGAAGAGTAGCCCCCGCTCGCCGCAACTAGAGAAAGCCCAAGCTCAGCAACGAAGACTCAACGCAGCCAAAAATAAATAAATAAGTAAATAAATGAAAAAAAAAAAAAAAAAGAATGTGACTTCTATAGACTCTCTGGGTTCAAATCTCAATCCTGCCCATCTGTTAGCTTTGGGACCCTGATCAAGTTACTTAACATTTCTGGGAATCTGTTTCCTCATCTGAGTACTACTGTGAGAACTAAATGAGGTAGTGCTGTAAAACATTTAGTACAGTGTTTGGGACATTGTAATGCTCAATAAATCTGAGGGGAAAAGTGGAGAGAGAGTATCCTAAGAATGTATGTTGCTCCGAAGTGGCAGAGCTGTGGTAGATCAGAGTTTCTATTTATCTCCGTGGGACCCAGATAAGTGAGTCAGTGAAACTGACCAATCTGAGCTCTGAAATCTGAAATCAGGCTTTCTGAGTCATGGCCCCGGGAGTTCCACTGGTCCCCTGACTGTCTGGCTTGTCAACAAGTTAGCCGCCCCTCCCATTCCTAGAAGCTGGCAAGAGTTTCCACAAAGGAGAGCAGCCGGACATCCTGAGAAGGCTCCAGAGGGCTTTCCACCTGGGGGACCTCAGAGGACCAGGGAGGGAACATGCTGTGCTGGGAAGGCCCTGCTATGTGAGGCTGCCTCCCCTGGGAGGAATCAAGTGCTGTATGTAATAGCGGGGCCTCACAGGGGTGTGGAACGTGAACCTACTGACCTTCACTCCCCGGGGTAAGAACAGCTTTCCACAGGTTCTGCAGGGGAAAAGCTTTTTATGCCCGAAGTTCTCAGGGCTGATGGTTTTTCTTAAGGCAGCATGGCCTCTGCCAGGTGTGCCTGCTTCATCCACCTACCTGCTGGATGGCATTTCGGTACAGGTAATCAACCATCATCAAGAGCTCTTTGGGGATGTCCATGGGTCTTTCCAACTGGCTCCCATCATCTTCAGTCTGAAGTTGCATCAGAGTCTGAGAAGAAATAAAAAGCATGATCAGAAGGGCCACCAATAGAGCTTCTGCCAGGCTGGCTTCAGGAGAACGCAGGACATGGAGACAGCAAACCCATGGAAGAACTTGGAAACGTTTTGATGTCCCTAAGCAAACATTCAGCAGGCAAAAATGAAATCAGGTGACATGATCAAGGTACAAAGGGTGACTTTTGAGAACTGGGAGTGGCTTATGGCAAGCAGTTTCGATCAGGTGAAATGTGCATCATCTTAGAAAAACATCCTGCCTATAGCACTTCACTGTCCGAACCAGAGAAATGGGGTGGTCTGGTGAAAAAAGAACACAGACGTGGGAATACAAAAACCCAAAAGCAAGGTCCAGGCCCAGGGTTAACTCGCCAGGGACTCATGACAAATCACTCCCCTCACTGGGCCTCTGTTTTCATCTATATAATGGAGAGGACAGAGTTCAAGAGTCCCTCAATTTAAAAAAATGCAATGGAGGAAAAAGGAAAGCATACCTATTGCCAAAAATCTGCTCCAAACTAGCTCCCTTGTATTAGAATTGTCTCCAGAGGAGCCTTTTATTTATTTATTTTTAAAATTTTATTGGAGTATAGTTGATTTACAATGTTGTGTTAGTTTCTGGTGTAGAGCAAAGTAGTTCAGTTAGACATATACACACATATCCATTCTTTTTTTTTTTGGCCACACCATGCAGCCTGTGGGATCTCAGTTCCCCCACCAGGGATCGAACCTGGGCCCTCAGCAGTGAAAGTGCTGAGTCCTAACCACTGGACCACCAGGGAATTCCCAATATGTTCATTCTTTTTCAGATTCTTTTCTCATATAGGTTACCACAGAATATTGAGCAGAGTTCCCTGTGTTATACAGTAGGTCCTTGTTGGTTATCTATCTTATATATAGTAGTGCGTGTATGTTAATTCCAAGCTCCTGATTTATCCCTCCCTGCCATGTTTCCCCTTTAGTAACCATAAGTTTGTGTTCAATATCTGTAAGTCTGCATAGGAGCCTTTTAGATCTCAGAAAATTTAGTTTAGGATGATAAACCAAGTGATGATTAAAACAGAAAAAGGAATAATATCATGGGCCAGGGACATTCCACCATCTTAGTATCTATGGCTGAGTTTCTCTAATATGTTATTATGAAAGACCGAAAAACATGGCAATAACATTTTGCAGCTTTTTCCATCAAGAGGTAGAGTCTCCCCATCCAGAATCTGGGCTGACCTCACAACTTGTTCCAACAAATAAAACATGGCAGAAGTGGTACCATGCGAGTTTTGGAGCCTGGGCCACAAGGAGCCTCACACCTTCTGCTCTCAAACTCTTGCTACCACTTAGGGAAGCCCGGGCCAACGTACTGAATGACGAGAGCCCATGTTGAGGGAAAGGCCCAGTGAGCAGCCAACACCAAGAAAGTCAAGGAGGCCTCGTTGAACCCTCTGGCCATCACAGCTGCCGTCTGACTGCAACCACACAAAGGAGCCTGGGCGAGACCAGCAGAAGAGCCACACCGGAAACTCACAGTCATGAGAAGCAATAAGTTGCTGCAGTTTCAAACCACTGAAAATGTCAGGGTCTGTTAAACAGCAGTACACAACTCTACAGTAAGCAAACTCTACGGAGGCTGAAGAATCCTCAGGTCCCTGGGAAGGTGGGCACGCGAGTATCCTGTTTGATTGGCTTGGCTGCTACACAGTTCTGGATGTTTCCTCGTGGCAGGTAACTCACCAGCTCTCTAATACTTTCTAGCGGCAGGTCCAAGATGGGCTCCTTCATGTAGCACAACGTGTGAATGGGCGATCCAAAACAGCTGGGCAGGTAGTTCCCAGACACAGACAAAAAGTAATCCTTTCCCCTGTCCAAGTGTAAAACCAGAATGTCCTCGATTTTGTCTTCACCCGAGTTGAGCTTCGTAGCTGTGGTCTTATTTACAAAGAGCTCCAATTCAATCTCAATGGCAGAATCTGGAAAAAAACGTAAACGGTAATGCTGGTTGGCAGAAGGCCAAGAGTAAAGGGGCGAGAAGACGAGCGGGAAGAGGGTGAGGCATACAGGATTAGGGGAGAAAATAAGAGGCATCAGCCAACCAACAGGAATTTACACGCTCAGCACTCAAAAGACACGTGAACAAGGAGTTTACGGTCCAAGCGGGAATATGAAAACAGTAAACAAGAACATGAATAGGTAGCTGCTACAAAACTCGTGTTCTAAGTAGCACAGCTCAAGCTAGAAATGATTAATACAATAAGAAGGCGTGGCTCAAAGAGCTTGCCCTGAGCCAGCTCATATGAAGACACCCTATCCAGTAGAAAATACAGCACGTTATCAGACTGTGAACTGTCCACAAGACAGGCTTAACTCCTCTGCCTCACGGCACTACGGAGAGCGCCAAGGAGAAGTTGGGGGCAAGACACGGGTGGTACATCCTAGGGCCAGACATAATTTTTCTGGATGACCACCCTATTACCTTTGCCCACAAGAGCGGACAGTTGGGAGTTGATTATAGTGAGACAGAGGGTGAAAACGGCTCCTTTAACAGCAACACCTGCTTTACAGCACTCCTGTGCCTTCTCTCCCTGCGAAACTGTGGAACATCCACGCGACTGAGACTGCTTTTGAAACTGAACTCATGCTCCTTACTATTTTTTTTTTTTGCTGTACGCGAGCCTCTCACCGTTGTGGCCTCCCCCACTGCGGAGCACAGGCTCCGGACGCGCAGGCTCAGCGGCCATGGCTCACGGGCCCAGCCACTCCGCGGCATGTGGGATCTTCCCAGACCGGGGCACAAACCCGTGTCCCCTGCATCGGCAGGCAGACCCCCAACGACTGCGCCACCAGGGAAGCCCTCCTTACTATTTTTTTTTTCTTCCTTTGCGGTATGCGGGCCTCTCACTGCTGTGGCCTCTCCCGTTGCGGAGCACAGGCTCTGGACGCGCAGGCTCAGTGGCCATGGCTCACGGGCCCAGCCACTCCGCGGCATGTGGGATCTTCCCGGACTGGGGCACGAACCCGTGTCCCCTGCATCAGCAGGCAGACTCTCAACCACTGCGCCACCAGGGAAGCCCCCTCTTTACTATTTTATATTATGGATGGTTCATCCACAGGGCTTTGAAAAATGTTCAAGCAGACAACAAAACACTCAGACACAAAAAGCTTATTCCAGGAGAATGAGCAAAGATAGGGTAGGGTGTTCCCCAAACCAGCAACCAGGAACCTGGGAACGGAGGCCTTACCTGGCAGGAGGAACCCTCGGCTGGGGTTGGCGCTCAGCCACTGCTTACAGTAAGACTCTTCGTCAGGCTTGTTGATGAATTCAAACTGACACGGTACTTGTCCATTCCGAATGGTAAAGGACTCTATCTGCAGCTGCATGTACTTCACGTTCTGAAAACAGAACTGGGAACAAGCCCAGGACCAGTCAGACCAGTGCCCTCTCCTTGGCAACCTGCCTAGCCACCCCAAATGGGCAATCCTTGCCCTTTCTGGAAAGAAAACAAAGGACCATCTCTTTCAAATCATGTTTCTGCTTTTAAGTATTTACCTGGGAGGTCACAGCTACCATGAAAGACCAGTTGTCTGTGTTTAACTCAGAAATCCTAAACTCAAAAAACTCATGTTGTTTTATAAATAATTTCCTAACAGAATCCAAGTTTAAATCTTCTATACGCAAAGACCACATCCAAAACACCCTTCACACATTCCACTCCCCAAATCAACCTCCTCCTTCCAAGTAACTGGACATCTAGGGCATTAAAAATACCCTCACCGTAAGTCCTCATTTAACTGACTTTTTGGTACAGTGAATTCTGAACGATCTATGCTATGGCACGTCTATGAAACATCTTTAGCCCTAACTTGACTTCTCCCAACGCCCATTACCTTTCCATACTGCTTTCCTTCCCATCAACTCATACGTACCCAAAATTTTGGACTCAATTTAATCTCAAAGCAAAGCATCAGTAGGAAGACAAACCCAGTGCAAGAATACACACTAGCTATACTAAGATCAAATGAAACACATTTTGGATCCTCTGTGCCTTATTTAACTCATGGATGGCCCACGTATGGGTAAGATATATGAGCCACAAAGGTTACAGGCTTTTCTGGTTAAGAAGATCAGGAGGTGAACCAACAGCCCCTCTCTTGTCAGCTGGCATCATCAGCCTCACTTTATCTAGAAGCAGCCGATCAAGACTACAGTCCAGTAGTCTGACAGGTGCCTCTTGCAATTCTGAGCCCCAGCAGGTGAGATTTACATTCTGTGAAGAGAAGAGCCTGATGCCTTAGCACGTCCTTCCTACCTCTCGCTTGGAGAGGGACACGGAAGGAATGCTGTCATTTTCCATCTTATCCAGGGAGCGAACGATCTCCTCCAGAGTCTTCCGATAAAGCTCTTCATTTACGACCCTCACCTGGAAGGGAAACAGCAGAGACTGAGGGCTTTGGCTTCTGCGCGTGTCCTCTTTTTCAGTTTAGAGGACATTCACGGCCTTGGGAAATAGCAGTTGATAGCAACACGAAAGTGAATACTAAATAGATTTAATTTAACGAACAAAGAACCCAATTAACAATAGATGTAGAAGGGTGCCCCAGAGGCAAAGCTTCTGGTAAAATCAACTGCTTCCTGATTAGCAGAAAACAGATGCAGGAGTGAAAGCTTGGCTGGCAGTTCTGCTGGGTCTTATGCCCGGGGCAGAAAGACGCCCATTGCCTGGCTCTGCTAGGCTTGCTGCTGCCGACAGGTCTGCAGTGAGGAGCTTCTCCAGGGCTTTGATTTAAAGCAGCATTTCTCAGGCTTTTTTAAACATGTACTCCATCAGCCAAGAAGATTTTGTCAGGCCTTCCCTTCCTTATTTTGAATTACAATTTTTGTCATTTTCCAGTAATAAAACCTTACCTATAACATTCATTAGGCTTTTTGCAAACCACCCCCACCCTCGTAGATTCTGATGTGCCTCTACCCGCATCCTTGAGAGCTGGTAATATAAAGTCACTGAAGAAGAGATACAAATGGAGAATACATAAATAAAAAGATGTTTACTGTAAATCAACTATACTTTGATAAAAAAAAAGAAAAAATAGATTACAGAAACAGAAAAAAAAAGATGTTCAGCTTCACTAGTAATCAGGGAAGTGTAATCTAAAATAATGGAGTACCTTTCTCTTTTGGCTCACTGGGTCGGCAGAAATTTAAAAGATTGATAAAACCCAATATTAGCCAGGCTGTGGGAACACCAGCTCATCCAGAGTTGGTAGAAGTGTAAAATGGTAAGGGCTGTCGGGAGGATAATTTAGCAGACTCAAATAAATTTAGAATACATTTTTCTTTGAACCACTAATTTCACCTCTAGAAATTTCACTCTACAGAAATATTCACAATGGTACACAAAGATGTATGTGAAGGGTGATCACTATAGCAATGAATACAATAGCAACATTTTGGAAACAACTTAAACGATCAATATATATTGGGGTTGGCCAAAAAGTTCCTTTGGGGTTTTCCATAATATTTTATGAAAACCCCGAAGGAACTTTTTAGCCAACCCCGATATATTACGGTTCATCCATACTATGAAATATTTTGCAGCCCTTAAAAATAATGAGGAGGGAGCTCTCCCTTTACTGACATGGAACGATCTCTTAAAACATAGCCAGCGGGGAAAAAAGATGTTCTCAGAACAATATGCATGATATATCTCTTTCACAAAAAGGGAAAAACCTCCTCTACGCTCTACATAGAATACTGACACACATTTGCATAGAAAAAGATCTAGAAAGATACAGTCCAAAGAGCAAAGGGGAACCTCCACGTATGTAGAAACATACAGTAGAAGTCTACAGAACAATTATGAATTAAATTTAAACAGCTTCCTCACACTCAAGGTAGGAGGAGGAGACCAGAAAGACAAAAGTGGTCTCAGCTGTGGGAACCAATTCCCTAGAGGACGATGACCAGAGGCACCAGCTGCCCACCTACCCCGATGTCAAACACTGAGCTGACGGGCTTGTGGTCGCTGGTCTTCAGGGCCATGTGGCTCTGGTAGCTCAGCTGAGTGATGTTCTTCCCTTTCCAGAGGACCCGGTCACACCAGGCGGGAGCACGACACTTGTCGCTGAAACGCAAAGTCCACACTGGGAGCCCTCCCAGGCACAGCAGCGCCCTCACCTGGTGAGCTCCCTGGCTCAGCTAGGGGTGACGGGGCAGTCTCCCAGTCCATGCAGCCGGAGATCTGAGAGGGCAGGGGCGATTTGGGCCCACTGAGGGGTAATGTGTATCCTGCGGGTATCACCCCGAACAACTGCGAAAGCTCAGAGCCAAAACGCCATTCAGAATGATTCTCTGCACTCTACTGTCCTATGGGGATCAGGCAAGAGTCACAGCCATCTAAGGGTGAAGGACTCTGTGGTCCTCAAAAGATGGTGGTTGAAACAGGTCGTGAATTCCTACTGCCTGGGTTCAAATCCTGCTTCTACGCTTGCCTGCCTGGGAGGCTCTTGAATTTTGGGGGTTTCAGTTCCCCGATCTATAAAATGAGGATAGTAAATCATACCTACTTCAATGGGGTGCAAGGAAAGTGTATTGAACAGTGCGTGGCATCCCACAGGCACTAATAAAAATATGAACTACTAGGTAAAGGCCAAGTACAAGCTCGGTTTGCTGCAATCATCACCCTAAGCGTAGCTGGAAGGTAAACGAGTCTCAAGAATTCTTATGAAGCAAAGGCTAAGGCAGTCAACAAGATGACGTGCGGGAAGGCAGGCTGCTTAATGAACAGATACTCAGAGAATGTTTGACCTGAGTACAAAACATGGGGAAGAAGTGATAGGAAACCTATCTTTTTCTTTAGGTCAATGAGGGCAAGTGCTTCCATAACTTTCTGAGTTTCCATCTGCTCAGCCCCCTGAAGCAACCTCTGACCTACCTGGTATCCCAATCGTCAGAGCCAGTGTCATACTTGTAGGTGGGCTGGAACGTGAGCTCACCCTCGTTGAAGCCTTCGAAGACAGCCTTTGCAGCGACCTGAGCTCTCAGCTACACGAAAGTACAGATAGAAAAAAAAAAATCTCAGGATAACTGCTATTTGATGCATTTCCCCCTCTAACCTGCCTTCCTACGTGATAAAAGTGCATTCCCAGGACTTTGATAACACTAAAAAAAAAAAAAAAAAAAAAAAAATCTCAGGATAAAAAGGTCAAACCTTGGGCTTCCCTGGTGGCGCAGTGGTTAAGAATCCACCTGCCAATGCAGCGGACACGGGTTCGAGCCCTGGTCCGGGAAGATCCCACATGCCGCGGAGCAACTAAGCCCGTGCGCCACAACTACTGAAGCCCAAGCGCCTAGAGCCCGTGTTCCGCAACAAGAGAAGCCACTGCAATGAGAAGCCCGTGCACAGCAACGAAGACCCAATGCAGCAAACAATAAATATAAGTAAAATAAATTTAAAGAAAAAAAAAAAAGGTCAAACCTTGAATTAGCGGAGGAAAGGAAATCAATCTGGAATCCAAACTCTAACCCCAAAGGAAAGGCCCATGAGAAAGCTATTCTGCAAGATCTTGAGTTAATTAACTCCTAGGAAAAGGAGCATGCTAACCATCCCTCCACCTGTTATACAGTTTTTAAGGCTCTTTTATAAAAGTATACCCACATCCGAGGGGCCTGAGTACCACCTTACTGAGACGTCCCTAGGAGGATTAGGTACCAAAGGACATAGAGATTTTTCTCTTCCCGGTATCAACTGTGCTTCATCTGCGTAGCACAGTTGTTCCAATTATACAGAGGAATAGAACTGCATAGAACAAGGTCTGGAAAGAAACAATCCAAAAAGCAAAGGGGAACTTCCATGTATGTAGAAATATATAGTAGAGGTATACCCAAACCATTATGAATTAAGTTTAAATTTAAATAATTTTTAAAGGAGTTTGTCAAATCAGTTATATGAACTGGGGTAAGCTCTGTGCTTTGGTTTCCCCATCTGTAAAATTTGGATTTATAATAGAATCTGCCTCACAGGATTGTTGCAGAGATAAGCTGTCAGCTTAGAACACTGCCTGACACATTACAATAGTAACTAGCACCCTTGTCACTGCAGTGATTCTAAGAGCTCCTTCTCAGCAAGACAGAAACCATAGGTGTTCCTGCCTCCTCGCTGGAGCACCGAGCTCGGCACTGTGTGGACTGGTGAAGAGCTGTCAGCTCCAACTTTGAGACAGAGTCAGCTATCCAGGGGACAGCAGCTGACAAACCCCAAAACGTGAATTCCTAAAAAAAACTATTAAGAAAAAAACAACAGGAAACTTAAAAAATTTAGGTATTAGTGCAAGATGATTCTTAAATGGGTAAATATAGACCGTAAAACTGTCTACAAAGCAGAGAAACACACAGACTGGGTACCATTACTTAAGGAAAGACCAGAAAAGAAGACAAGAGGAGGGACTTCCTTGGTGGCGCAGTGGTAAAGAATCTGCCTGCCAATGCAGGGGACACGGGTTCGAGCCCTGGTTCGGGAAGATCCCACATGCCGCGGAGCAACTAAGCCCGTGAGCCACAACTACTGAGCCTGCGCTCTAGAGCCCACAAGCCACAACTACTGAAGCCCATGTGCCACAACTACTGAAGCCCATGTGCCACAACTACTGAAGCCCATGCGCCTAGAGCCCATGCTCCGCAACAAGAGAAGCCACCACGATGAGAAGAGTAACCCTGCAACAAAGCGTAACCCCCACTCGCCGCAACTAGAGAAAGTCTGCACACAGCAACCAAGACCCAACGCAGCCATAAATAAATTAATTAATTTAAAAAAAAAAGGCAAGAGGAGATGGTATTGAACTACCAGGGAAATGAGAATGCCGCAGTCCAGAAAACAGTGGCAAGAAATAGATAGTTACAGAACAGACTGGGTTAAGGCTGAAATGGGAATTAAAGAGAATAGCTTACTAAGGAAAAGAGTGAGAGAGAAAAATGGATCGATAAAGAGATTATTCCATAAAGAAAGACATAACAGACTCGAGATTTTCCTTTTCCCCCTTCAACTGATCTGCACTGGGGGAAAAATAAAGGAAACAGAAAGATTTAGACTAATGACAATACAAAGAAGATTGAAGGGGAGATACAGGCTAAAAAGAAAAAGGGCTGTAACATTCTGAACAACTCTGACCACTTGAACAGTTTCGAAATCTATTGAGAGCAGTAGCCTGAAGAAGGTCAGAGAGAAACAGATTTCTCTTGTCCTGGGAAATGGCCAGTGCTTTGAGAAAGGAACGCTAACCCAAACAATGGTGGAGGAGAGCACGATACAGAACTGCTTCCTGTCGGAAGTGAAGACAGCCATTCCGAAAAAGAGTGGTCATGCACACTGGACAGACCTGGTGAGGGGCAGGGGGAGCAGGAGGCCCATCCAAACCATCAGTAAATCATCTTAAAAATACCAAGTATCTTCATTATGAGACGCTTGGTTCCCTTTGGGCTCCACCTTGAATGACTGAATGAATGGGCACGCCTGCCTGCAGGAGAAAGAGAGCAGCTCTTGCCCCGGGGGAGATAAGCCTCAAGGGAACAGCCAGGTGGCAGACAACTGTGGGAGAGGGGAACACAGATGGAAGGAAGGAAGGAAGGAATGATGGGACACCAGTTCCTCAGGGAAACCTCCCCAGATGAGCAAGAAGAGGCTGGAGTTGGGCAGCCAGGCTTTCCTGTGCCCTCCTGTGGAGGGACGGCTGCCTGAAGAGGGCCTAGGTGGCCATTGGTACCTGGTCATTCGCATACAGGGTTTGAAAGGCCTTCTCTTCGATGAGCTTTTTCACTTTTTCCACATCCAGCTCTTCTATTCTGTAGTTGAGGTCCCCCAGCCACAAGATCACACTGCGAGGACAGAGCACAAAGGTCACAGGGTTTAGGAGGGACTTCACCGGCTCCAGCCGGTGTGCTCCTGACAGAAGGCCCCCCGAGGCTCGGCCTCTGGGGAGCTGGGCGGGGAAGGGACTCGGCTACTCAGGGTCTCTTTTCCTCACACCATCCCATTTAACACCATGTCTAGCATGCTGCTTACTCAATTATCTTGGTCCAAGTTCACTGTACACAGTCTTGAGTTCTCCTTGACTATTTTATTCTTGTACGGCTGGAAAGATAGTCTAATAAGATCTAAAAGCAAGACAATAATTGACCTCTCTCCCGGGAAGACGCAAAAAAGGTCAAGTATTGGGAGTCCTGTCAGTCACTCAGGGACCCCGGACCAAATGATGCCATGACGCCGCCTCCTGCCTCACCCCCCCTCCAGTCCACAAAACACACTCGCATCCTTTGTTTCTGGAGCTGAGATCCTCTGAAACAAAGCTCAACCCTTCCAGTGGAGTCTGGCTTTAACAACCACCGTATCATTGGTTGGCTCTTTCTGCAGAGTGTGACAGGTATTTTGTCACACCTGCTGCTTTGGGAAAATGATGACTAGATGCTCCCAGGTGACATCGCATGTCCCATGAAGACCAATACCGCTTTATTTGAAGCCAAGAACCAGGTCATGAGAGAAACCACGCGGCAGCATACACACACCAAAATGAATGCATCCACAAGCTAAAAGCAGACAAACTGACATGCAAGCTGCAACCTCACAAACTAGGACGCTTCAGGGTCAGCGGAAAGGGAGACACAGTCCCTGCTGGGTTCCCTGGAGAAGGGAAGCCATCCTGGCAGCTTTCCAGAACACCAATCAAGACAGGTCTACCACCACAGCAGGCGGATGAGAGGCTGGGCTCTGTGTACTCCCTGGCAGACACCACAGCCCCAGTGGCTTCTTCCTTGTCATAAAAGAAGGGGCAGGGCACATGCTCCAAGTGTTACTGTAAAGTCTGAAATTCCAGTATGCCTTGAATTTAGACAGAGAGCAAGTATTGGAGATAAAGGAAATACAGAGAACAGACAAAAATCAGCGCCAGATGTTCCAAGCAGCTGCAACCACGGCTCTGTAAAGTTGAATCAAGAGGCAAAGAAGACTAAGTGAAGACAGAGAAATGCAGCCCAATTCTCAATTACACATGCTTCTGGAGAGAACAGGCAGACAGAATCCTGAAACATACTAAACCTGAGCTTGAGATGCTCACTCTGGGGTGGTTTTCCTCATGACACTGCATTCAGGCAGACCCATGTTAAAAATAAATCTTACACATTTTCCAGGAACAGATGGTGTCTGGGAAAGATTCTAGAGGTCTGCCAGATGGCAGGTTGGGAAACGAAAAATTTCCAAGAGAGGTAATCCCTGTGTAACTGAGAGTTGGCTGGAGCTCCCACTCGGGCAGTGGGAAGCCTCCCCCGGCCCCCTGCCTAATGAAACAGAGAGCCCGCAACTTGGCCCGTGGGGCCCGGTGCACCTTGTCGGGGTGGAAGGCCAGACTCACTCGTGTTTGCTGATGGTGAGAGGGGGGAGGCTTGGGTCAACCTGACGAAACTGCATTCGAGAACAAATGTCTTTGTAGTCTTGGTTCCTCCTCTCATACTCCTCCGTGTGGGCTGCCAGGTGGGAATTGACAACGCAGATGCTGGTGTTGTGAAACTGGAACCGGATCGCCACACCACCTTTGTTACCCTGTGAAAGGAGTCCAAAAAAAGACCAGTAGTTGTTTAAACACGAGAGGTTGTTTTCTCTTAATTAGTCTGCATCATAATCCTGGGAGGTAAGTAAAGCAGTGTTACAGTCCACATATTACAGGTAGGAAAACACATCCGAGAAGGTAGAACGACTAGCTGGCCAGTGGCAAAGGTGAGTCCACTTTTCAGTAAATCACAGGCAAACCACATGCCCCTCCCTTCCCCATGAGAAGCTAAGCTCTCGCAGTAGAACCTAAAAGGATTTAACAGATTCTAGAAGAAGAGAAAATTGCAAACCTATTATTAGCATTCTTTCTTTCTTTTTCCTTTCTAAGCATTCTTTCTTTTCCTTGGTGACCCAGCACAGTTTCTGCAACATATGCCGTGCATTAAATGGGAGGACCCACTGGAGGCTCTGGTGTGAAGTGAACACGAGGATTTGGCTAGTTGGGCAAATCAGCCAGCAAGTCACTAATATACAAATTCTGAATGGTCTGCTCCATCTAGCCCTGCTCGATCACGAGGGTACAGTTCACCTCGTACCGCCAGCACCCTCAGACTGGGACGTCTGCAGTCACAGTATCACGAGAAGTGGGGTCCAAATCTTAGGGACCAAGGCCCTCCATGTGCCAGATGTACCAACCAGGAACTCACCATCCTCCCCATGATTCCTGTCCCCACCGTCTCAGCTTCCACTTCTGAGATGTATGCTGCATGCTCTTGTTTGACATATAACAGCAGCATAATCCCAACCAGTCGGATGAGCTTTACCTGGAAGAGATACGAGCATTCACGTCATGGCATTAACTAGGAGTCAAAAGGAAAAGTAGTCCGGAAGCTGGCTGAGAGTATTACGGAGGAGTCCTCCACACCAGGACACAGGGTAATCACCTGAGTGACTCCGTGATAACCTCAACAGCCTACAAGAGCCAAGACCTGCCTCTTTCACACCCAGAGACGCCTCTTCCAGAGGGCCTGGAACTGAAAATCTCAGGATCATTAGGGCTGGCTTTTGATGAAAGTCGCAGAAGAAGTGAAAAGTAATCTTAGCATTTCCCTGCATAGCAACAAAAAATTAGAAGGTCCCCGACTCCTCTCTTACCTTTGCGTATTTGGCATCTGGATGAAGACCCTCTGATACAGCTTTAAACCACTCTTCCTCCTTTGGGGTATCATGGAAGAAAAAGGCTTCTTTACTCAAATCAAGCTCCTGGAACCTATTAGGAGAAGTAACCAGAGAGTAGAGAAGGGTAACGTGTGAGATGGCACGTTCGCACGTTGGTTTGGGTGTGTAAGGCCTAGCTTTCTAGCTAAACTGCAGGACCCTCAAGAGGGAAGAAGAATAAACACTTAGCGACAAGGGACTAAGTTCCTCAGTCAGGGAACTTACCAGGTGCTTTCACAAGCAGCAGCCCATTTCTTCTTCATAATGAACCTGAAGTAGTTAGAAGAGTCTCCATTTTATATCCGAGATCACTAGCTCGCCCAAGCACCAAGTGGCAAATGGGTTCAAACCTAGGTCTACATAAATTCCAAATTCTAGGCCCTTTCCACTCCTGTACAGGCTTCTTTGCTGTCCCCTCCCCACCAACAGTACCCAGTGCAGTGGTGACAAGACAGCAGGTGTGAAAAAAAAAATGACTGATGGATGGGGCCTTTTTTTTCTTTTAAGCTAACCTTCCTTCCCTGGCAAAAGATATTTTTGCTTTGTGACCAACAAAGTGTTGAATGTCTAAGTAATTAAACTCAGTTCAAGGTGTACCGATCTTAACAGAGGGCTGCACTCAAAATTAAATATTAGCATTCAAATGCCAAGCACATCACTTGAATAGTGCCAGAAATTTGTTTACTGTGAGGAAGCACACTAACAGGGGAACAGCTGTTATTAAGCATATGCTCATTTTTCAATCCCTTCACCTGCTGTGAATTCTCAGTTATAGATCCATGCCCCCATCCCTTCAACCGCAGCTACACGTTCTGGAAAATGCAGAGGCAACTAGAAGAGAAGCACTCACCCCACACAGTATACATCTGGGGCCTGGATACCATGGCTGAGCCAGGGCTGGAGGCACTCCTTAGGGGACTGTCCATTCACATTGTATGTTCCCACAAAAAACCTGTTGCCAAAGACAATCAATCAGTCACTTGGGAGGACTATGGACATGACGGGGAAAGCACTGGGTGCTGATTCTGCTCGGTTTCAGTCTCTCTGGACTGGAATTTGAAGCCTTAAGAAATGTCACATCTATCCTAGACCAGTGCAAATGGCACCAAGGGGTGACGTGATATTTGTTGCTTTTGTGATAACTTCAAACAGTAGAGGCCCACTCCGAACATTCCTACTTAGCTTTAACAGCCATTAGAGAGCCGTAATCCACAAAATGACTGTTTACTGTGTGTACCAATGAAATGAAAAAAGGAAAGTACCCCGGTAACTACTTTCCGAAAGAAAGCAACACCAGTGTTCAGACAATTCATTGTTTATATTCCTAGAAGCAACGTTACTTTGTGTTATAGTCCCAATGCAATGATTTACAAAGATCTGGCAGTCATAAAAAGGAACAAAATTGGGTCATTTGTAGAGACGTGGATGGATCTAGGGACTGTCATACAGAGTGAAGTAAGTCAGAAAGAGAAAAACAAATATCGTATATTAACGCATATATGTGGAACCTAGAAGAATAGTACAGATGAACCGGTTTGCAGGGCAGAAATAGAGACACAGACGTAGAGAACAAACGTATGGACACCAAGGGGGGAAAGTGGGGGTGGTGGAATGAATTGGGAGAGTGGGATTGACATATATACACTAATATGTATAAAATAGATAACCAATAAGAACCTGCTGTATAAGAAAATAAAATAAAATTCAAAAATTCAAAACTAACTAAATAATAAAAAGATCTGGCAGAATCCTGCACCCTTTATTCATGTAACTTTTGCTCACCTTGCCTAAAAAGATTACCAAACACTAACTTCCTCTGACTAATTTCAATTCAAATGACTTTCTTCAAAGGCCCCCAAAAGGGGCTTCCCTGGTGGCGCAGTGGTTGAGAGTCCGCCTGCCGATGCAGGGGACACGGGTTCAATCCCTGGTCTGGGGAGATCCCACATGCCGTGGAGCAACAAAGCCTGTGAGCCACAACTACTGAGCCTGTGCTCTACAGCACACGAGCCACAACTACCGAGCCTGCGCGCGCTGCAGCTACTGAGCCCACGTGCCGCGACTACCGAAGCCCACGCGGCTAGAGCCCGTGCTCCGCAACACGAGAAGCCACCACAATGAGAAGCATGTGCACCACAATGAAGAGTAGCCCCCGCTCACCGCAACTAGAGAAAGCCTGCGCACAGCAATGAAGACCCAACACAGCTAAAAAAAGAAAAAGAAAATGATGGGAGGGACTCTGTACAGGATTTGCTTTCAAATCCAGGGTATGGGGGAATTGCTTAAATTTCAGAGAGGTGAGTGATCATTTTGCTGCGGAAACAGTCGAAGACCCAGTGAGCTACCTGAAGTTCTGGATATAGGTATAATCCTTTTCTTTCTGCATTAGATGTGATTTCACGATTGTATCTCGCAGTCCAAACTTCTGCATGGATAAAATATGAGCCTTGTCTGATACTGTGATAGTGGAGGAGCGAACCATGTCAGTTATATCAGATTTGGACTTATTCTGTCTAGAAAAACAAAAAAATATATTTTTATTAAAAAAAGTTTTTATCATATTTTGATGAGTCCTCCTTGACAAAGTACATGAATATAAAGCTAGAAGATTCCACACATCAGCATCTGAATTTCAGAAGACTTAAAAGCCTAAAGTAAAACTTATTTGCTAAAACAACACTATTTCTATGTAGAACAAAGTAAATTTATATGTTGTTGATTGTATAGTACATTGGTCCAGAGATAATAGGTTTGTAGAATCTCAGACCAGAAGGAGACCTGGAAGATAATCTAATCTGATCCCTTCATTTTTCAAATGAGAAAAATGAGACCCAGCAGCGTCAATGATTCATGCGGCTGGGTGGCAGCAGAGTGTGAATCAGAACTCGGTTTAAACAGTGCTCTTTCTGGACCCTGGGCCTCACGTAACAAGACTATAGAACTATCTAGATCTTTTGACTTGATAATTCCCCTGAATCTCTAATCCACAGGAATACCTGAAATAAAAAGAAAGGCAATGAAAATTTATATTTTATTATTATTTGTGTAGTTTTCATAGTCATACTAAAAATTATTCAAATGCCAACATTTAAAGTTAAGCAAAATTTGGCATATGTACATAACAGAATCCTAATAAATGCTCAGAAAACTTTTGTTGAAGATTACTTAATGAATTAAGATACATAAAACACTTGAAACAATTTCTGACATTGAATAAATGCCACTAAAGTGCTTAATTTTAGATTGTCATGTACATACTAATTAAAACTATGTAAAATGCATCTATGTATATCAGGAAGGCTCAAAAGTGAATTGAGAATGATAGATTTAGCTACGTTTAAAGTCCAGGGATTGTTCCTTACTGTTTAAGTGTGTAATTTAAATATTGACACAAGTAAGTTTTTATCTTGACCAGATGATTCCAGCTATGACCAGTAGGGGGCACTGGAGCACACACTAAATATAACCGCATCAGAAAAAAGAAAGGAGTAAATAAAAACGGGGAAAAAGAAGTATCTTCAGCGTCAGGAAACTCCTAAAAGAATGGGAGGCAGAGGGCTTCCCTGGTGGCGCAGTGGTTGAGTCCGCCTGCCAATGCAGGGGCCACGGGTTCGTGCCCCGGTCCGGGAAGATCCCACGTGCCGCGGAGCGGCTGGGCCCGTGAGCCATGGCCGCTGAGCCTACATGCCCGGAGCCTGTGCTCCGCAACGGGAGAGGCCACAGCAGTGAGAGGTCTGCGTACCACAAAAAAAAAAAAAAAAAAAAAAAAAGAATGGGAGGGAGAAATCAAATGTTTCTAATCTACATTTCCGTGGTAGGGTTAGGCTGCCAGTTTCAAATCCTAGATCTGCCACTTGCTAGCTCTGGATCTTGGGTGAGTTATATAACATCTCTTCTTCACCTGTTTCCTTAGCTGTGAAACAGAGAAAATAATGGTATCTACCTCTTAGGTTAAAGGAAGGTAATCCATGTAAGTGTATGATGCCTGGCACACATAGGAAATGCTCAATAAAAGCCTAACATTTCCTAGGCCAGTGACTGTGGGACAATGGACATTGTGCACAGCAATGGCCTCAGTTCTACAGTCAGGAAAACCTCAGCCCTAAGAGGCACAAGTGAAGGGAGAGCTGCATTACCTTGGGAGCAAGTTTTCTGGTTTATCCTGACCCCAGGAGCTTTGGTCCACAAGCAGACCCTTCCCATCTGGTCTTGACTCATCAAAGGAAGAACCACCTAAGGGGAGGAGGAAGGAATTAAAACATACTTACATATGCTTTACCATACAGACTACAGCTTCTCAAACTGTAGTCTGGGAATGACTGGTGGTTTTCATATTGCTTGAAACCATAAGAAAGGCCTAGGCTGGTGTCTGGATGAAGCTCCCAGAGAGCAGGATAGAGAGGGGAAAAAAAAGTATTTCATCCAGATGTCTTTACTACTGAAAACATAACTGTCCCAGCTAGTTAGACCCCCTTTTCTTGGAGACGGAGTGCATTACAGAAGGAACAAAAAGCTAAGAAATCTGCAGACCTAAGTTCTATCACCAGCTCTGCTATTTATTAACCTTTTGACTTTGTGCAAACCATCTAGCCTCTCCTGATCTCAGTAACTTGACCTGTCCTGCCTTCCTCTCAGGCTTATCGTAGGGATTGAATAGTTGACACGAGTAAGCACTTTGAAAGCCACGCAACATATTATAAAATATAACGTAGCGATGTTATTACCATTTACTGCAAGTGAGATTTAAATTCCGAGGAGGAAAAAGGCAAGGGTCAGAGAAGTAAAATTGGGAAGGCCCTAAGTGCTTGCCATTGTCAACGCAGCACCTTGAAAACCAAGGAGCCCAAGGACCTGCAACAAAGAAATATTTGGGGAAAGTTGTTAAATCAAGACAAACTGGAAAAGGAAAATCAATCTGCCAATTTACTGTTTCTTTGCTCCTTAAAAGCCAGATCCCTTGTCAACAGGGAACAGCATGAAGAGGCCACAGAAAGATGCTGCTTCGATCCACAAGGTACAAGGAGCACCAGGGGCATGAAACATCACTAAGGAATTCTGCTCTGAAGACTATTACTAAACATGGATTTGTCAACCATGCATTCACAAGAACGAGAAAAAACAAACAAAACACCGGAGCTGAAAAAGAAAACACGATCATTTGAAACATGAAAATAGTTACGTTTCAATGCCTCCAATCAATCAACAAGGGCTTTCAATTTTGCTTCCGAAATTGCCTCTCAAATCAATCCATATACTCCTATCCCCAATATCACTATACTAGCCTAGGGTTACCAACAATTCCCTGGAACTAGTTGAGGGAGACCTCAACTCATCTCCCTGCTTCCTCTTTCACCCCACCCTCTCTAATCCAATCTCTACACTGTGGCCAGAGGAGTTTTTGAAAAAATGACGACATGGCTTAAAACCTTTTAAAAGCTCGCCATTGGATAAATCCAAGCCCCTTAATACGGGTGCCAAGCCTCTTCCCAGTCTGGATCCTGCCCACCTCTCCACACACATCACTCACCACAGCCCCCTACCTCCTTGAATGCCATACTCCAAGTATACTAAAGTTACTGCAGTTATGCAAAGATCCCATCAGAGACCGACTTCCTTCTTCCTCACTCTGCTTTCCGTGGCTAACTCCTACCCATCCTGTGGCCAGGAGTCAGCAAACTTTTTCTATAAAGGGCCAGAGGGTAAATGTCCTAAGCTTTGCAGGCCACATAGTCTCTGCAACTATTCAACTCTGCCATTATAGGGTCAAAGCGGCTATAAGCATCAGTATGCCAATAAAACTGTATGGTCACAGATGTTTACATATTATATAATTTCCACATCACGAAATGTTATTCTCTTTTAATTCTTTTCAAACATTTAAAAAATGTAGAAACTATTCTTAGCTCATGGGCTGTACCAAAGCAGGCAGCAGGCTGGATCTGGCCCAGGGGAATGTAGTTAGCCAACCCCTGGTATAGATATATCTTAGAGGCCATTTCTTCTAAGAAGCCTTCTCTGATTCCTCCCAAACTGGTCAGATGCCCTGACACAGATGTTCCCATAGCTCCCTGTACTTCTCCCACAATCGGCTTGATTGCTGTGTGTTGTAACTGTCTCCCCAGTTAGCCAGTAAGCCTACTGAGGACAAGACTATGCCTTAATACTAAACCATTTGATATTAAATCTTATATATATTCATCGGTTTACTGCATGCTATTTCTGCTAAAGTGTAAGCCCCATGAGGTGGGGACTTTGTCATCTTTATGCTATTTCCCAGGGACCTGGAGCAGCACAGGTGCATAGCAGGTACTCAAGGCGTCAAATGCAAGTGTCAAGAAACTTAAGTTGAAGTCTAGCTCTACTATCATCTTCCTGTGTGACAAGTTACTTCCTTTCTTCGGGTCTTACTTTCTTCATCTATAAAGTAGGGACTTAAAAAATATCTCATAGGGCTTTACAACGTGCAAAGGCAAACTTAGGAATAATGCTTAGGTGTTGTTTCTGTATGTCAGTGCTTTCTGAGGACTCCGTCAGGCCATCTCCTGGGGACAAGTGGTTTGTCCCGTGGACTGGGCTTCCGTCCAGGAGTGGGCAGTGTAGTGACTGGAAAACCACCTTGCTGACCTGCGTCTCGTTGATGCCCCGACCCCGTACCTCTCTCTGGACTCCGTCCAGCAAGAACTAGAACATCTTCATTCATGACTTCATGTAAGGAAATGTTAAGGCATGGTTGGGGGGATTTCCAGCCACAGGGCAGTCTTCTCGGAATCTCTTCCCTCCTGAATCTGGTACGGAAGCTGGCTGTCAGCAGCTCTTTACCAAGGTTATCATCGCACAGCCCCACGGTCCCCTCTCCGGCCACAGCTTCCTGCCCTTCCTCCTCTTCTGCTTCCCTACTGCCACGCTGCCCTTTTTCCAACCTCAGACCTGCAGTCCCTTGTCACCCAATCGAAGAGGTGACATCAGGGATTTTTTTTCCTTTCTTCCCATGTTCCGTCATCACGTCCTACAAATCGTCTCTCCTAAATACTTTTATACCTGAACTTCTCTCCTATCCCTACTGCCATGCCTTAGTTTGGGCCCTTAATATTTCTGGAGAGCACACTCAGTGATTTCCCTGCCACCATTCTCATCCCCTCCAGTGCATACTGACAACCTCTAGAAGGAAACACAAATCTGAGCAGGTCTTTCCTGTGTGTAAAATCCCTTAATAACTTCTAACACGTTTGTAGTAAAACCCAAACCTCTAAGTATTACATACAAGGACCTTTATAATCAGCCCCAGACTCTCTCTCCAGGCCCATCTTCCACCCCCCACTCAAACCACTCCTCTCTCGCCCCCAATCCAGTCACATCAAAACCATTTATTTTTTTAAGGGAATTCCCTGGCAGTCCAGTGGTTAGGACTCTGGTTAGGCGCTTTCACTTTCACTGCCGAGGGCACCGTTTCGATCCCTGGTTGGGGAACTAAGATCCCACAAGCCGCGCAGCGACCAGGGCGGGGGGCAACCATTTATCTTTTTAAATGTTGCCTCTTCACCACCACCCCCGCCCCGATGCTGGGCATAGTCTAACCACCCTCAAACCCACCTGCATGTATCGAACTTCAAACTCACCCTTCAAGACTCAGCTCAGCAGTCATCTCCTTCGAAAAGCCCTCTCTGGCCCTCTCCTTCTACTCTTACCCAGTGCTTACTTCTATCAAGGCATTTCTCATAATTGTAACCATGCTTATTTAATTTTATTTGGCCGAGCTGCACAGCATGTGGGATCTTAGTTCCCCAACCAGGGATCAGACCCGGCCCCGGCAGTGAGAGCACCGAGTCCTAACCACTGGACCGCCAGGGAATTCCCTGTAACCGTGTTTAACTCTTTTTATCAAAAGAGTTAGCTAGACCACAGGCTTTAGCTAGACCACAGGCTTTAGCTAGACCACAGGCTTCTGGGAGCAGGGGCTAATGTTCTTCTTCTGTGGCCCCTGGCTTACGGCAACATGAAATATAGCAGGCAGTCAGTAAACACACACTGAGCAAACCACCTCAGGGCAGCGGTTAAGCTCACAGTCATTTCTGGGTGCTTTCTGATGACCACCTTTCATACCTACAGTTGAAACCATTTCTGAGTAAGAGTATACCTAACAGGTCAACCAGAGCGACAACTGCAACCCTGATCTGGATGTACAGAAGTAGAGAGTGTTCCATTTCTCTTGCGAATTCTGTGCATTGCACTGCACATATTACAGAACCCAAACTCCTCTCACATGCCTGGCTAAATAGATAACACTGACCCTGGAGGCTCCTTCCTTCGCCCAGGCAGCTCTATAACCTAATACAGACCCACAATCCCTTATCTGAAACCCTTGAAGCCACGTGTATTTTGGAATTCAAAATTTGGGACATTTTAGAAAGATAATACATAACCTGTACCGTGTTATACAGCACCCCAGCAGTCAGACGCAACATCCAGAAACCAATAATGTTAAGAGTTCCTCAGCGCAACTTATGAGTAGTAACACTTAGTGGGATAAATAAAGCTTATAAATAGTCTCCTGTCAGTTCAAGCAAATCTTACTGCCAAAGTGAGCTTGGGCCAAATTTACAAAAAAAATTTATTTTCCACCTTCAGAGCTTTTAGGACTTCAGAAATGCTGATAAGGAATTAAAGGTGGTATTTAAGAGTGTGGCCTATATGCATCAGAAAGGATTGAAATATGTGTCTATGTACATATATACCACATGTTTATAAATGTATAAATTTAGACAAATACACATACAGATGGGAAAGTCTGGAAAGTATACACTGAACGTCAACAGTAGTCATTTCTCGGTGATAGGATTGCTTTTTCTTTTTGCTTATAGGTACTTTCAAAGTTAGCTAAAATAAGATGTATTTGTATATATGTATATATAAATGTACTATAATTATATAAAGATATATATGTAATATATATATAAGATATATATATTATAAAGATATATATATTATAAACATATATATATATCAATATCAACATATACAGTCTTTGGAGTCAGACTTAGATTCCATTTCTGGCCCTACTTACTAGCTGTATGACCCTGAACAAGTTATCTCACTTCTCTAAGCTTCTGCTTCCTGAACTGAACAAAGATAACAGTATCCACCTCCTATGGCTGCTATCTTCTTTTCTATGGTTAATCAAGGCCACCCCTCACTGCATGGCCAAAAGGTCCTCTAGAAGCCAAACCAGACCTGTT